GGTCTGTGCCCCGCACGCCCAGGACAGTACTGAACTGCTCTGCATCGACACAAGCTCCAGAGCACGCGCCCTGCGGCCGGGGCAGAGCCGCGCCTGTGCGTCAGCTCGCTGCTGGGAGGCAGCTCCGTCTCACTCCCGGGGGCTCGGAACTCGAAGTACAGTTCCTGTGCATCCCAGATTGACATGTCTGATTTCTCAAGCTTTTCTTGGCTTGTCCCCATAGCTGCCGAGCAAGCCCCCTGCCACGCTCGTGCCCGTGTCCCTCGTCAGGGCCCACCTCTTCCCCATCCGCCACAAACCCACCTTCTGCTCAGTGTTGTCCAGCTCGGACTGTAGGATAAACGCATGTGTAGCCCCTGACACCCAGCGCCAAGCAATACTTCATACACTTTTGATAATGATTTCAGAACAAAGATAGTCTAGTGTTGCATCAGTGGTAACTGGGAAAGTTAATTCCAAGGACCCCACACATTGTACACATAAGGTGCACAGTACACTTTCTTTCTCAGTTATCTGAACCTACACAGTAGTACTAAGTTATACTGTTTCACTGCGAAACTGATGAGGACTCCAAAGACAGATACCCATTTCCCTGTCTTTTAAAACGTCGCTGGAAGAATACGTTTGTTATTATTTTTATGTGTCACTAATAAATGTTATCCATATGGCTCCTGGTGCCTTACAATTACATAAGTCGCTGCGTTTATGGTTCTATAATTTAGATTAAATTAAGTATTTATGAAAGAAGAAAATATTAGGAACGTTTCCTGAAAATGAAACATAGTCCCAGAGGCATTACGCAAAGAGGGTCATTTTCCGAAACAACTTGGCATGAAGACAGGCCGCGCTGCGTGTGTCCAGCACACTACATGGAATGTGCCATCTGAAATGCTAGCACTGCTCTTTTCTGGAGTAGCACGCACTTTGGAGGTACGTGATGAGTGACCGATTCTTTCTCTTAATCAGTGTTAAGATATGAAGTGACTGATTTAGAAGAAAAAGAAAAAAATAGAGAACTGACTTGGAGTAAACTGATGGAAACCAAAAGACAATTTCCTCCTTACATCCTAGAATTCCAAAAAGAAAAAAAGAAAAAAAAAATCCAAGCATTTTTCTGGCCATAAGCCTATAAAAGTCACACTTGGTGTTATAACAATTTTCAATTCTTCACAATTGGTTTATATTTGAGAAATTAAATCTCAATCCTTAAAAAGCCCTTAAAACCCAGAATTTTACATCTGGAAAGAACAGATCTTCAGCAGATCTCAAGAAGTTCACTGACATGACCAAGGTCACACATCTGGCTACAGTTCAGGTCTTCAGATGTCCATCACACGTCATCTGTCACAGCATGGATAAGAAATGCCTACATCGTGGAAGGAGCTAGACTGTGTCTTTCACGGGCTTATTCACTGGGGTGACAGGTCCATCCTGAGAGGTGGACCTGCCAGACCCTGGCCCGAGTCTACGTGGGAACAGAGAGACGAAGCCTGCGCTGGTGGGGCTTACAGACCGAAAGACGCGTCAGCAAATAAGATGACAGATAAATACATTAAATATCATCAAATACCTTGAAGAAAAGCACAAACGCGGTGAGATTGCGAGAGGGTGGCCTAATTTTGATAGGGTTACCAAGAGAGGCCCTTCTGAGGAAGTGATGTTTATGTGGAAAACGGAAGGGGTGCGGGTGAGCCCAGTGGAGAGGGCCGGGTGGGGGTGTTCTGGACAGAGCATGCACAAAGTCCCTGAGGCAGGGAAGGGGCCGCGGGGCAGCGGTGGAGAGGACTGGGTGGAGGGGTCAGGTCAAGGGGGAGAGAGTTTCTCCCTAACTTCATTCCGATGCACAGAAGCGTTGGAGCTGGGAGGTGGTCTGATCACCCTGCACATTAGGGGTGGCTCCAGGCCGGGCGGGATTGTCAGCACGGGGGGGTGTCATGAGCAGTCAGGGAGGGGCTGTGGCCGGGACTGCACGGGTGTGGAAATGGAGTAAGTTAGATGGACTCAAGGAAGACTTTCACTGCAGACCGCAGGACCTGGGCAGGGTAAACAAGGCCACCCTGAGAAACGGGGCGGGCAGAGCTACCATTTGTCCAACTGGTGAAAACAAGAACTGACCTGAAGAAAAGGTCAAGAATGCAGTGTGGCATGTTTTAGGTTTGAGAAACGTATGAGCCACACCCAAACGTCCAATATATGGCTGAACAGGTAGCTGGACGTGCAGACTTGAAACTCAGAGACAACATCTGGACTAGACACGTAGGCAAGGGAGTTGCTGGTCTGCTGTTAGTCTATGCGACAGCTGCTCCTCACACCCCAGAGCTGGGAACGCTCCCGAGGAGGCAGACGCAGGACACCAGGTGTGGCTGCACGTCCCTGTTTCTGTAGCCACCCAGGCTGCCTGCAGTAGCGCCAACAGTCCTGGTCATGGTAGTTCAGAGTCAGGTGAGACTGAGTTAAAGAAGATAGGTAGTTGGTTAAGAACCGCATGGACTCTGAGCACTAAAAGTTTCACCTCAGGCGTGCCAAATCCACCCATTTGCCAAGCACCCCACATGAAAATACTTTTCTACATTGACTGCAGACATTTACCTAAGTCATCTGGGCTGGCTGGTTAGCTCGGTTGGTTAGAGCACAGCCATATAACACCAAGGTCATGGGTTCAGATCCCCATACCAGCCAGCTGCCAAAAAAAAAAAAAAAAAAAAAAAAAACAA